CTGCAGAAGCAGGATTGAAAGAGCTCTGCTGTCTCTCTACTCAGTGTAGAGTGTCTTTCTTTAAGACTAATTTCAGATCCTTTTTATCTATTGCCCATGTTGCATTTTTTCAATTTATAAAGATATGTTTTCAGACTCTGTGCAAGAATTGGTATTATATAATTTTTATGTTGAAACTGAAATGGAGTTCATAGCTGAGGAATTTTTAGGTAATTTGCTTCCTTAGAAAACTAATGCTGCCCCATACGAAAGGAATGCCATGCAAGATAGAAGATGTATGTGAATTTCTTGTGTAGTTGCTTTTGAGCTTGTAACTCTATTTCTTGTAAATGTACATGTACCATTAGGCTGGAAAAAGAAAACATTGCAGGAATACAGTAGAAAAGATTAAGTTTGTTACTGAAGTCATCAGAGAAAAAGATAAAGGAGACCAAGGTAAGTGATTACTGTTTCCTTCTAGTCCTATTTTATACAGCTGAAGATTCTTAAAACCAGATTTATCTTTATTACAAACAGCACCATTTCTCTTCTTAAAGATCCCCATGTGATAATGACAGAAGAAGTGGCATATAAATGTTTCTCAAAATATATCTCAGGTATTACATTTCAATAAAGTCATGTATATTTTACTTCTTCTTCTTCTTCTTTCTACTAATAGTCCTACTAATAAAATATATTTTACTTCATTTCATAACCACAAATGTGACATTTCAATAAAGTCATGTATATTTTACTTCTTCTTCTTCTTCTTTCTACTAATAGTCCTACTAATAAAATATATTTTACTTCATTTCATAACCACAAATGTGCTGTAATGTGCTTCTTTCCATGTGATAAAGACTGAAATGATACAATTAAGAATTGGGAGATGGAAATTATTAATTATTAATGAAAACAGATTATTCCTGTCAGGGCTGCTATGTATGATGATGAACTTCAAAGGAGGAGGAAATGTTTGCAAAGAAGGGATACAAGTCCTTCTCTCCTGGTGTCAGTTCCAAATTCCTCTTTCACCTTAGCAGGTCCAGGATTTAACCCAGGCCACTCTTACGGCTATTAAAAATGTCAGGTAAAGAGAGATTTCGTCTAACATAGCATGTCCTAAACTATTTGTGCAGTATTTAATAATATCAGTCAGGGCTCATGGACAGATGTGATGTCTTTGATTAGACCAACAAGATTTTTGCAAAAAAACCCCCTTTCATTGCAAGCTTTTGGGCACAAACACCCTTCATCAGGAATCAGAGAAAAGATTGTAAAAGTTCTGCTGGGTAGAAATGAAAGTTCATATTTCCTAGGATTTCACAGAGCAGTCGATAGGTGAAATAACCCTCTGGGCAGGCGGGTCTCACCTGGTAAGGAGTCTCAGCTTTCCTGTGAGGCTGCAAGGATGCAAATTACCTTAGACAAAGGCAGGAGCAGGAGTAATAATATACGTGTATAATACCATATCTTATACTTCCATTTGTAATTACTTTAAAACACAACCTGTATGAGGGATTGTTCATTTTAAGTGCTTCACAACTCCATATCACACAGTGACTTGGGGTCTGGGTTCTCCCAAATAAATTATGGTTCCACTCTTTCAAGACTTTCTGTTGTCTCTAGCTTTGCATGTGAGGGGCTACATCCTAATTATCTTTCTGTCCCTACATGGTGCGTACAAAGTTTGGTAGCTATAGAGATCTAGTGTTTCTAGTTCACTCTGCCTGAACAAAAACAGGCACCGAGGCCGAGGACTGCAGAGCCCCAGGGAGATTCTGGGGACCAAAGATGGTTTGAGAAGCTGGCTGCGGTAAAAGCACACAGTCCAAAACAAGGGTCAAAGCAATCTAAACAGCACTTCTAATATTGGAATACAAACCAGAGGCAATTGCTAAGACAATACAGATAAGTATAGTGAGCTGCTGATTTAAAAGAAATATCCATTAACCTAAGAGAGTCACAAAATCATTATTACTGAAAAAAAAAATGTTTAAGTTCCTGGGTCATATAGGTTTCCAACAGGTGACCAGCCAGCCAGGGAAAATAACTTCTTATTGGTCTTCCTGAGACTACATGCTGTAGGTTGTGTTATGAGCACTGTGTGAACGGTGTATGGCAGGTATAGGTTTCATAGATACACTGACCTTGGTTCACCTGCAGAGGGGCAATGCAGCAAGGATCTTGAGTCCCTTCCTGAAAAGAGAGCCCTGCCCAGTTTAAAATGCCAAGGGTGGCTGGCTGCACGCTGGCTAGCCATGTTGAGCAAGATCACCTGTGACGGAGTACATTGGCTTCCGACGTCAGAGGAATGGCACAGCAAGGTCATCATGTTGTACCTCCCACTCCTAGCCAGGCTTCTTCCAGAGTGTTTTGCACTGTGTATCATTCAGCCAGTTACTTGAGATTTTCTGAATTAATATTTTAATTTGGGGTGGGGAACAGGGCGAGAAATGTTCCTTAAAAAGTGAAATGTCATGTTCACTAAAAAAAAAGTCCAGGTACATTAATTGAAATACTGACTGACAATATAGATCACAAGCATTATAGGACCAGCATTTCTTCTTTTTCTTATATTATATTAGTGGTTGCATAGAACTGAAATGATATGGAGAGACCTCTAGCAACCTGAGAATAACTTTGTTTCACTTTTTTCATGAAAACAATGTTTTTATTTTAAGCAGTTTTTTGTAGTCTTTCCTTCTCTTTCTTTTTCTTTTCCTTTTTTAAACAGCCTACACGAGATCTCTCTAGGTGTTATCCTCCATCTAGTCCTATTTCAGTTTTGACTGCCAAAGTTACTGTATAGTGATATCCAGAAAGAGCTGAGAACCTGTGCTCTGAAATTCAGATACTTGTATGGGATACCTACCCAAGCACTTTGAAAAATGGTCACTAAAACCCAGATCTGATGGAAGGTTTTCTGTTAAAACCATTCCCTTAAATGGGACACTGGCCATCAGGCTTTCCATAGATACTTTCCTCTACCAAAATTACAACTAAAAAATACACACATTCTTTTCTCTTAGTTTGTAGGATTCATTCTGCAAATATTTTCACTGTAGATACCTTCAAGCATTCATTGTCCCATTAATTGCCCAGCACACGCTATGGCTGGGGAGCTTCTTCTCCTGCTACCGATCACGTTACTCATGATATATGTCATGAGCTGGGGAGCAGCTATGGGGTATTTTTTAGAGTTTGGGAAATGGTGAGGTGTTTGGGAGGGAGCATGTTTCCTCATACTCCAGTGTGCCATGGCTGCATTGCCAAGTGCTTCTCCTGCTACCGATCACGTTACTCATGATATATGTCATGAGCTGGGGAGCAGCTATGGGGTATTTTTTAGAGTTTGGGAAATGGTGAGGTGTTTGGGAGGGAGCATGTTTCCTCATACTCCAGTGTGCCATGGCTGCATTGCCAAGTGCTTCTCCTGCTACCGATCACGTTACTCATGATATATGTCACTGCTGGTGGTGATGGAAAAGGGGAATGGCCAGAAGGACCAATCGTTGTGAAATGTTTTGCCATGAGTTTCTTCTGTGAGATTGTTTCCCATCGAGTTCAGTCAGACTCACATGTAACAAGGTAGTATTACCAGCACAGGTACTATTTGGGTACTATTGCCAGCATGGACCATAGGAACTGATTATTTTCCCTTCATCTGGGCAAGGAAGATAGCATGCATTGACTTCCTCACTGCTATGGCAAGATTGCAACCAGGACTCCAATTAACTTGTTTAACCCTAGCAATGACATTTCTGTAGGGCATAGCAGTTGAAGAGTAGGCAAGCTTTTCCAGCTGCAAACTGGAATAACCTACTGCAGGTTGGAGGTGGTCACCCTAGCACCCTGCCACCACTGCCACCAATCTCCACCTGTGGCACAAGGAGAACACCCACAGATGGTGCTTGTCCTTGAGAAAGCCTGGGGAGAGCACCTGAAGAAGGTGCCCCCCACTTCCAAATGCCACCAATGACCCAAAATCATCAGGTCAGATTCAAAGGTCCTGCAGGCCATGGGTTAAGATTACAGCTAATCCCTGATTAGGGATTACAGCTAATCCCTGCTGTAATCATTACTGTGTCTGCAGCATAGACATACCATGAGTTAAACCACTGCAGCTCACTTGTAGGTGGAACCTGCAGCTGGACATAGAAATATTAGGCTAATAATAGGAAATCTTTAGCCTAAATGTACATAGTTCCCGAGGAAGTGAGGCTATTGTCTTATCTATCATAATGTCTGCCATTTCTTCCACAGGAGAAGAAAGCCTGCCTGCTGCCTCAGTTCCCATGAGTGTTATCCAGTTGGAATCGAGTGTATATGCCACCAGGCATTAGGTTCTTGTCCAGGGCTTCAGGCAAAGCTGTGTGGAGAGGAAATGAAGAGTGAAAACGAAACTTCTTCAGTAGACTTCATTCTGCTGGGATTCCTGAGTCGGACCAATGTACACATGTTCCCCATGGCCATGATCTTATTAGCCTTCATCGCCGCCTTGTCTGGGAATGCTCTTCTCATGCTTCTAATCCAAGTGGATTTCTCCCTTCACACTCCCATGTACTTTTTCCTCAGACAATTGGCCTTCATGGACATCTGTCAGACACTGATAATTGTCCCCAAAATGTTAGCTGACTTCCTGATCCCAGGCAACCCCATTTCTCCAGCTGGCTGTGGGACTCAGATTTTCCTTGCGTTGACAATGGGTGCATCAGAGTGCCTGCTCCTGGCGGTCATGTCTTATGACAGGTACATAGCGATCTGCAACCCCTTGCAGTACCCTGTCCTCATGAGAAGGAGCATCTGCTTTCTTTTATCAGTTGGAGTCTGGATGGGAGCATCAGTAAATGCATTCATTCAGACAGTGTTCACACTGGGTTTCCCCTACTGTGGCTCCAAAGAGATTGACCACTTCTTGTGTGAGATCCCAGCCCTGCTCAAATTGTCCTGCTCTGACACCTCTCGATATGAGACTCTGCTGTTTGTGGCTGGCATTGTCATGCTCCTCATCCCTTCTTCCCTTATACTAGCCACTTACGCTTGTATCCTCTACAGGGTCCTGAGCATGAAGTCTACCAAAGGACAGCAGAAAGCTCTGGCCACCTGCTCCTCCCATCTCACTGTGGTGGTCATGTTTTACGGGGCAGCCATCTTCATGTACATGAGACCCAGCTCCTACCACTCTCCAGAGCAAGACAAGATTGTGTCTCTGTTTTACACCATTGTCCCCCCAGTACTCAATCCACTCATCTACAGCCTGAGAAACAGGGATGTCCTACATGCCCTCAGAAAGTGGATTGGGAAATGCAGACACTTCCAGCAAGATTGACAGAAGTTGTAGCCGAGCCAGGTGAGGAGGAGAGGGGGACTTGCATGTGGCTCAGCCCATTGCAGAGCCTGGCAGCCCTAACTGTAAAGTAATGTCTCTGAAGTCCAGCCTGAACCTCCTCTCTAACATTTTGTGGCTGTTATTTCTAGTCACCTCAGGTGGTGCCTGGGGGAACAGAGCCTCCCCCAATTCTCGCTGGTCCTCCCTGGTAAGTTTGTAAACGGCCACCAGGTCCCCTCTCAGCCTTCTCTTGTGGAGCCTGAACAGGTTCAGGCCCTTTAGTGTCTCCTCATTGGGCCTGCCCTGCTGCCCCTTGACCATGTGAGTGGCCCTTCTCTGGACCCTCTCCATGCTGGCCACATCCCTCCTAAAGTGTGGCGCCCAGAACTGGATGCTGTACTCCAACTGCAGCCTGACCAGTGTTGCATAGAGGGGAACGATCACCTCCCTGGACCTGCTTGTGATGCGTCTTTAGATGCACGACAATGTGTGATTAGCCTTGCTGACCTCTTCCTCGCATTGGCGGCTCATGTTCATCCTGGAGTCAACAATGACTCCAAGATCCCTTTCTGCCACTGTGTTGACAAGCCAGGTGTTCCCCAGCCTATAGGTGTGTTGCTGGTTCCTTCTCCCTAGATGCAGCACCTTGCCCTTGTCTGTGTTGAAGTGCATCCTACTCTTATGCACCCACCTCTGTAACCTGCCTAGATCTACCTGGATTCTGTCCCTCCCCTCCAGCGTTACCACCTTGCCCCACAACTTGGTGTCGTCAGAGAATTTGGACAGCGTGTTTTTTCATTTGCTGCAATCACCAGATTGCCAAGCCTATCCTGCATGTTCCTCACGTTACCCGGTGCCTTCTCCTTACTTCCTATGTATTTGAAAAAGGACGTTTTATTATCTTTAAATCTGATAACTAGCCCGAGCTCCATCTCTGCCTTGGCCTTCCTAGCAGCCTCCCTGATAAACCTGTTCTATTTAGCAGAAATTTTACATTAATTTAGCAGAAATTTTAGATTTACTTGTTCTAATTAGTAGCTTTATTCATGAAGGAAGACGGTTACCCAAAAATCTATGTAAGCCTTTTGTAAAATACATTGATTTGATATATTCCAGATATCATGGAAAAGGGCAAAAGGGAGAAACAGGAAGCTTTCAAGGTTTACAATGGTGGCAACAATGCAGAGCAGTAAACAAAAACAAAATCGTGTCCAATATTCCTTTCTTTGCGATTGGAAGAAATGGAGCTGATGGGTAGACACGACAAAATGAAAGCAGGACATTAATGAAATAAAGGAATTTTTCATTAAAAAGTTAATAGGAGTGCTCCTTCTCAAAGAAGCAATGGAACAATTTTGTGAAGGCTGGCTATCTCCATATTCCCAACTTTACCTAAAAAATGAACAAACCCATGTGCTAGGTTCACATAGAGCATTCCTCCATCTGCCCCTGAGAATAAATCCCTATGATCTCCTTCTGAGATGTTGAAATCTCTACAATGTCACTGAGAGGAACGCATTATAGGTCAGCCTGCGTGTCCCCCTGAATTGTGTGTGTGGGTGAGGAAGAAGAGGCCATTGTGTTTGTGGTCCTCATGCATAATGATGGATGAGCCTGTTGATAGTGGAGCTGGCTCTGAGACTAGCCAAGCCATGGTTCCCAGAAGAGGATAGTTGCTAAACTGAAGTGCATCTTCAGGGAAACAGTGACCCCAGACTGACTACCAAGACAGAGAGGGGAGACATAGGATCCTTCCTGTAATAATCTTGGCCACATGGGCCGCAGTAGGCCATAAAGACCTGGGGCAACACCTGTACTTGAGACATTGGCTCTTAATTGTTTGAAAAAGTTTTCAGAGGAGAGGATCCCCAGACTCACGCACAGTACTAGAGATCCAGAGTCACTCCTCTGCCCCCTGTGCACATGTACAACATGGTGGTCATAGGCCTGGAGTGGCTGGCATGGCCCAGCACAAGGGAGCAAGCATGGCAAGATTGAACCTAATGTACGTATGACCTACTGGGAGTATACGGGCCTCATGTGTGGTACCTACTCCTTTGATACAGCTGAAGTGGGAAGCGGGGGAGGCATCCAGGTGTTTTTGTTCGCATGGCCAGAAAATGGTGGCAGTGTTCCCAGGGAAAACTAGGACTCTTGTCCTGAGTGGTCCTTAGAAAATTCATGTTGAACTTAACCTAAATGGACATATAGGAATCCTATCTACTTCTCCTTTTATATGCCCTATGGTCATGAGTAGGGACCTACTGAATTCATTGTAGAAGTGGGCTGTCCAGCAGCTCTCTTAATCTTGAAGGTTCCCCTGTGTACCCCACTGCCAAACATCGCAAATTGGTGGATGGGCCCTGGTGGCCCTGCTGCTTGTGGCTGACCATTTGGGAGGCAAAAACAGCACCATATTTAATACTACAACTTTGGCCTTCCTGCCAATCAGTGTGTGTGGGGACAGTGTGTGGGGAGGGGTGTGGAAGGGATGGGATATGCCAGGGGCCCTGCAGGATTAAGGGAGCTGCACAGCAGACTTCCACTGTGAATTCGGTAGCCCCTAGTTAGGAGGACAAGGTCGGGCAAAGGCTGCCAGGGGGCATTGAACACGTGTGAGAGTGGTGGGGATATACTACTGGGGCAGTGCCGGGGGCCCTAATAGGCAGCCCAGCCTGGACTAATTCCCTAGACAACAGAGGATCTAACTGGTGGCCCTGCTCTGCTATTGAACCAACTGGCCACTGCTAGGGCCTCCTGCCGGAGTGTTGGTAATGGTTGTCCAGCTGTGGCAGCAGGCTGCAGGCCAGCCGACACTTCTGTGTGAAGATCTGCTGTGGTAAGCTCTCTGGATCCTGCTGGGTTTTCAGCTCTGGGTTTCCAGCTTCTCACCCTGCTTGCCTGCGTGTTCTGGCTCCGGCTCTTGGAATCTCCTCTTTGCTTTGCTTGCTCACTTCCTGACTCCTGAACCTTGACTGGGGCTCTGCCTGAGGTTTTCCCCAATGTATCTTATAGCTAAGTCCTTGATTCCTGATCTCTGACTTGGCCATAGATTTGGAGTCCACACATAGCTTCTGCCTTCTCCCAACAGCCTTCACATTAGGCCAGAACACCTATGCCATGGTCCTTACCGGCAGTCATCTTCACATGCATGAAACTCAACAATTGCCATCAGAAAACGTGCAATAAAAGTAAGTTTGTGTCTCTATATAACACCATTGTAAACAAAATGCTGGTTCCTAACAGAACCAGGGATATTTTAGGAGCTCTAGGCATCTCTTTTGGGATATTCAATCTCTAGTTTGTGGTCTGATCTAATTTATTGATGTGGCAGGCTGGCCAAGGGCTCACCAGCAGCCCAGCTCGATGGCTTGAACCGGGTGGCTCAGGCTGATTGGTGGGGGCATTTCTCTCCCCCACCAATCAAAAAAAAAATGTAGGAGGATGGCTTGCCCTGCCCTGACCAAGCGGTGAGGTGAAAAAGAGGACCTGAGGGGGAACTAATCTCTCAGGCTTCCCCTTGGTCCATTTTCAATAGTGGGGTGGAGCCTCCAGAAGAGCTAAAAGCCTGTGCGCCCAACACATGGGTGGCTTTGATGAGGAATGATGAAGATGGGGTGGCAGAAAAGCTGGTAGATCTGGCCAGCAGGGTGGAGGAGTTGCCCCAGAAGTGGCTTGAAGATGTCTCCACTGAGTGGGAGGCAATGAGCAGCTGCTCCCAGCCGCACTGTGGAGAAAGCCACGGTGTTGGTGCATGGATCTGTGCATTGTGGGTCCGGAGAGGTGATGGGACTCCATTGCTACATGAGGAAGCGCAGGTCCCTATTCCTGCAGGAGGCAAGAGCCCCTTTGGTGCACAGAGCAGTGCATGCAGCCTGAGAGGACCTGACAGGCAAGAAAGCTCCATGAGGCATCTTGGGATTTCCTGCAGAAGCAGATAGCAGGATGGAGCAACCATGCCAACGAGGGGGGAAGCCCCACAGCCAACTCAGAGAGAGAGAGAGAGAGAGGGAGATGAGCCAGGCCCACCAGAGCTCCTGGGAGTCATAAGTTACCAGAAAAGGGGATTGCAGTCCTGAGGAGGGGAGGATTTCTACAGGGGAAGAAGGGCCCTCCCCTTCTGGTGATCAAAGGGAAGCCCCATGATGAAGTTGGTGAGGAAGGGGGAAACCTCCTTCATGGCAGAGAGAGTTAAGGGCCCTTGTTCATCATGGGATGGCTTTGCAGTTACTGCGTCAGTCTAGATATGTGGCCTAGAGGAGGGAGATGGTGTTCCTTATGGTAACTTGCTCTTTTCTCCTGGTATCATTCCTTCTTTTGAGCATAATTGCTGTACCACTGTTGTTGTCCTTGTTCCTTATATTGCTGAGCCCGTTGCTGTAAACTTGTGTACGTAATGTTGTATTATGAAATTATTATGAGCTGCTTTATTTAGCATACTAGAGGGCCTGCAAGCACATCCCCTATTCCAGGGGTTTTCAAGCTTTTTTAAGGAGCATACTCCTTCTGGTGGCAGCGGCTGGACATCACACGGCCAGTCCCATGGAAGTGGCTTGTTGCATGTGTGGCTCCAAGGGCTGCTGATGGGCCTTGCACCTGGCTAGTCATGCACCGCTCATCAGCAGCCTGCACAATGGTATGGTGTGCTTGATGGTGGCGGTGGCCACTGCAAGTGAGCTCCCCGCTGCCACCTCTGCCTGGCTGGCCTGCTGGCACCTGTGCATCCCACAGAGGAGAACTGCTGCCCTCAACCTCCCTGACCCTACTCCTGGGACATGGCAGTGTGGGGTGGTAGGTGGCAGCGCTTCATTGCTGCCCACCCACGTGTACCCCTTAGCAACTTTCTCAGTACCCTGGGGGTACACATACCCCTGGCTGACAACTCCTGCCCTACTCAATACTTGCTTTCATTGTACTGGTTATCTTCATGTATTGAATCTTATTTAATGTAATCTCACTTACATATGTTTAGATTATAGTTTCATCTCTGACAGGTTCTGTCTGTTCCCCTATTGTCTAACCTGTGTTTTACCATCACAACTTTCTCAGTACCCTGGGGGTACACATACCCCTGGCTGACAACTCCTGCCCTACTCAATACTTGCTTTCATTGTACTGGTTATCTTCATGTATTGAATCTTATTTAATGTAATCTCACTTACATATGTTTAGATTATAGTTTCATCTCTGACAGGTTCTGTCTGTTCCCCTATTGTCTAACCTGTGTTTTACCATCAAGTGTTCCTTTGCTGGCTGCCTGGAGGGCCTGCTGAGGGTAGGGGCTGCACACTAACTGGAAGACCAAAGAGGGTCATGGCCTATGCTGTTATAGTGCCTTCACCTGCCATACCCAGCTGAGTTTGTCTGGGTTTACATTTAGTAAGATTTATTGGTTTTGTACTCTTATATTTGTAAATAGTATATATCTATATCTATATCTATACTACATATGTGCACGTTATATATGTTTATTGACACTGTACTGTAAAATTAAATCTGTAAATAGTTAAACATCTTTGGGTGTTCCTGGTCTCTGCTCTGCTCTGCTCTGCCCTGCTCTACTCTGTAAGGGAGGGAGGTGAGCTGGCCTGAAGCTTGGCAGTCATGCTCCCACAGCACACTCATACCAGCTAGCATCCCTTCAATTGAAGAGGGGGTGCCAGCCACATACCACCTGAGCTGCACAGAGATTTTGCTATGAACTCTTTGGTACTGGATTGTCCTGATCCTGGTACCAGCAGAATGGATCATATACTTAAAAGGGTTTACCCAAGTCCATCGCTTATCAACATTTTAAAAAGGTAAAAGTTATGTCTTGGGAAAAAAAATCTACTCTGTATATAGAATGAGCAGAAGGATTAAATTGTATGTAAGTACCAAAAGCTGCCCATATGCTACCATAAGTTAACCACTTTGGCACCTGATGGTGAAAAAGGAATCACCCCTACTGTTTTTGTAAGATTGGAGATAACCCTGATCCCAAAATCTTAACTTAACTTTGTGTCTGTTCTTGTTCCCTGTTCCTAACTTCCTATGGCAACACCATTCTTTCCTGCATGTCAGTGGGGCCATCTTTTCATCTGTCTACATGCCATTCTTGGCACTGACATGCAGGAAAGATTTCCATTCCTGAGTCCATAAACCTTCCCACATAGAGGGGGCAGTAG